TGTATAAAGCAAACCAGATTGCAACATGCGGTTGTTGGTTATCGACAATCAAGACATTGAACAAACAATGTCAGGACACCGATGTTTACTGTATCTGCTATTGACGACTTTCATAGCAATGGAAAATGCATAAACATCTGTTCCTTTGATACAGAAAGCGTAATTGCTTGGGTTTAATAGTCCACAATTAAAGTTATTTAAATCTTCTAATTATTTTCATTAAAAGTAGTGGATCGTGGGGTAATTTAAAGTTAACCATTCATGATATAGTTTAGATAAAATAAATGATGATATTTAAGAACATGGCTAGAGTTGACTATGACAAAAGAAATTGTTTGACAGCTAAACAAAATTTCTAGGAATCATCTTGGTTCTTCTGAATTTTATCCAAAATCTACTGGAACAAATAACAGGCAGATATTTAACATTCTCTGCTGGATTCTCAACAGTCTATGAAGTGTCTGGGACTGCGTCAATGGATCAGTACAGGTTCGAGTTTAATTACGGGCGTTATGATTTGGAGCCAAAATATTCATGTCAAAGAAGCACTGGCATTTTTGTAGTTTGGGATTAGTTTTTTACGTTTGAAACAGCAGAAAAATTTCAATTTTAATTTTTAAGGTTAAACCATTAATTTTATACGTCTGGTTAAAAAAAAAGCATCTATTTAATTTGAGAAATAAATAAGTTATTTTCAGATTATTATAATAAAATATAATTTACTTTAATGTTCTTTTTCTTATAAAAAAAGACATGTTAACGCAAAAAAAGTAATTTAATTAAGAAAAATTCTATTTTTATTGTTAAAAATGTTTTAATTAAAATTAATATTTGGATTAAAAGAAATTCATTTTGAAAGCTATTTTATGTAAAAAGCGTATTTTTATTATTTCATCGTATTACATTTATTTTATTTTTATACTTAATACTTTTATACTTTTAAGTATATAAAAAGCTATTTTAATTAAGGAAAATAATATTTACACTGTTTATATTTGGGCTACTGCCCCCATCTCTGTTGTTATTATAAATAGTATCTTAAAAAAATATAACAACTATAAGATGATACCATGGTTTCACCACGCGTATATTATATCTGGTTTGCTTTTGATATCTTCATATATATATATATATATATATATATATATATATATATATATATATATATATATAATTGATTTAAAATATGTTTTTTTCGCTACACAGTTCCAACCATGTTTCAAAAATAGAAGCTAAAAACCCCGAATTTAATTTTGCAATTAAATTAAAAGCATTAATTCCATTTCATCTTCAAGCGAATTTTGGAGTAACTTTTAAAAATTACCGGGTTTTAAAGACACAGCTAAAATCACGTTTCCATGGTTACAGAATATTCTACTTAAATTGAACAAGGGATTTCTAGATTTTCCTTATGTCAGTATCATTGTATCAGTTATTAGCTACAATTTGGTAAGGGGTAGGGATATATTTTTCAATGAAACCTGACATCAGTTGAATGGATGTCGTCTGAATTTTTTTTTTTTTTTTTTTTTAAAAAATTGTTAACGGTAAAAAAATTTCAACGTCATTTTTTAAATTTAAAGATTTTCGTTTTTTTTGGTTTTTTTTCCTAATACTTTTTATTTAACTACGATTCGAAATATTCTCCTTTTTAATTTTTATTTTCCTATATTCTTTTTAAGACCAGTTAAATGTATTAGAATCCATTATATTATGTAGGATTATTTTAACATCAAGTTTAAGTGTGTATATGAGGTTACATTTTTTTTTTTAAATTTATGACATTGACGGCAAAAATGGTTACTTAATTTCACTGATTTAGTAAACTTTTATTTTATATATAAACCTAGTATTATACTGTTCTTTCTTTTTATTTATATATATATATATATATATATATATATATATATATATATATATATATATATATATAGGGTGTAACAGCAAAACTGTTCCAATCGTGTAACAGCATGCGATAATGGTGCATCCTACAAGATGTTTAATATCTAAAAAAAAAACAACTAATTGTGTTTCTTTTTGCCAGGTTTTCATATGATACATTTAACCATCTTGACACCATTTTTCGTAAGAATCACTGATAAAGCCTTTGAGTTATTCCGGTAGAGAGAGAACCGGTTCAAATCGTTTTGTGTCAGCCGAACTCTGTCTTCCTAACTGAGCAATGGATAGAGGATAAAGATCATTCAGGCTTTCAGTAATGGTACCAACATCCATACTCCGGCTTCCATCTTCAAAGACCAGTCAAGAACCATCAAGAGAACGGTGAATAAGTTTAAAAAAGAGGACACAGTAGAGACGAAAACTGGACCAGGAGGTCACAACAGCAAAAGGGATCCGCATTTCATCTTAGAACTAAATACATTCTTATTGTTTAAAGTAGAGTCCAATAGATATCTTTATTTATTTTTTAAGTTACATCGGCTTAAATCTTAATTTAACAATTGGACAATTTTACTGTTACATGATTTTAACAATTTTGCTGTTACACCCAGTATATATATATATATATATATATATATATATATATATATATATATATATATATATATATATGTGTGTGTGTGTGTGTGTGTGTGTGTGTGTGTGTGTGTGTGTGTTAAATTTAAAAAAATTTCCAAAAATAAAGTGGCCATTGTATAATTAGAATTATTTGACAATTAGTTTATTTATTGATTACTTAAATAGATTTTGATAAAATATTTTTTTTTCTTTAAAGTATAGTTCAAAATACATTTGTTGCATAAAGTGAATTAAATAAAAATTAAAAATAATAAAAATATTCTCAGCATGCAACAAAAACGCTTCCTGTCGGAAATACGTGCATCCCGCTAAAAGACCTTAAATTCAATCTCTTCGCCACGAACCTTGGTACAGGCAACATGTGTCCGACTTCTCTCTGTGATATCGCTTGTAATACTACGGAGTAAATTCTCCCTTTTATTACATGTACCATTAAAACAATTGTACCTAAAAATACATCCAAAAATAGAAATTGTATGAAATTACCATACAATTTACCATGCTTGTCCTGCTACTGGTATACGTTATTTCCTGTCAAGTATGTTTTTATCTCCGTGAACACAAGACTCATTTCTGATGCTATGATATGATGGAATCTGCCACAACATTTTGGTGAACGCTGACGTGCATAAAAAACAATCTATTCATCCACACTAGCTCAATGCGACTTATCGCTTTTAACTTGAGCGTGACATAGACACGCAAATAGAAACTTTTAATAATTATTTAGATCAAATGAAATGTGAAAAAGAATTTGATGTTTTTACTTTATTTTGCGTGTTTGTCAATAATTTCTAAAATTTTCACGAAGATTTGTTTTGCCGAAAAAATGAAAAATGAAGCAAAGCTTAAAATATGAACCCTGCCGAATTGTGTTGTTCCGAAGTATGTTTTGGTTTCCTTCCGGTGATTGACTTAAGAAAATTTGTATTTGCCCAAATCTCTCTACTGAGATGGAATTTGACACAAGGTCGGGTTTAATGTGGGGAACCTGAGCGTGTACACTCGGTCAAAGGACAAAAGTTACCTAGCGCCCGCAACCGTCGGTTGCGCTGGCAGCGGTTTAACTACCGATCTCGTCTCTCTAATGCAATCGGGGCTATAGCCTCGGACAGATGTTCCCCCGGGACCGGCCATATCATTTTCCCTCAGTCGCTTCTGTGTCCGCAGACAGAGGCACAACTATGTCGCACTCTGCCAGAAGAAAGAGACACAATTGAGAAATGATAAACACTATGGAACGCGGAAGGCGTTCTTTTTTTTCTTTATAATTTCAATCTAAAGAATACAAGGATCGGTTGGGTAACCAGTTGATATATTCTGCTACACTTGCAGGTCGTTTAGTCTCCCAACTGGTGTATCTACTTACATTTAACGTATTGGCCGGCCTATTGGACGCACTCGCGCGTTACCCGTACCCAGATTTTGGCAAAGAATATTTAGGAAAAAATGCCTACATCACAACTAAAAAAAAAAAAAATATTATAACCTTACCTTTATGTGACATTCTCAAAAACAATGAAGAAGCACTTACAGTATTAACACAAATTATACGACTGGTACTTTGTTTTTAATAGAATACCCTTGGGAAAGGTATGAATCCACCTTTTCTTCCCCTAGATATGGGTTAATTAGCAAGGCTTGTATCAGTAAAACCATTATTATCTTAAAAAATAAAAAATAAAATTGCGTAAAAAATATTTACATTTTGATATTAAATAACCCATATAGATTGATATGCATCTCACTAATATATATATATATATATATATATATATAATTTTGAAAACTGTTTTATGGGGTCACAGCTTATTTGAAATAGTTTCCTTTGCCAATCTCCTCTAAAATTCTTTCGTGCTTTACTCTGTTACTTCTCACGTTTGAATTCGGAGTTTTCTTTCTCCTAGACTGGCTGCCAACCAAGGAAAATATCATCAATTTTCTATACTATTTAACCCGTAGCTGGAGGATAGTGAATTCATGCCTTTTTCATTGGCAATAATGCGAAATGAACCAAACAGAAATCGACCAGAAATTGAACTCAGTTCATCGATTCTGTTTGATTGAGCTTACTTCATACCACAGCAAAAAAATGGCAGCTTCTTCTAAAGAAACATTAACTGGGGAACAATCCCGGTAACTTAATCCCAATATATGGCCATCCTTAAAACGTGAAAGTCTATCTAGTGTTCCTGCAAATATTAAAACCAGTTTGGAAATCTCAGGAAATGTTCCATTGCAACATTAACCTTTTCAGTGCCGTTGTTTTTTTTTTTTTTTTTTTTTTTTGCATCCGCTGCAGCAAACAGGCCATAACGTCACTCAGCCAACATAAAATTAGATCCACAAGGTACCATGGCAAAAGGTGAAAGAACCTCACAATTTAATGGGCAAGCTCGATTACTTTCAAACCAACCTGTTAAATAACATTCTGTTCCTCTATTTTGAACAAAGCCGTAATGTTCTTGTCGCAATCTTTCCTTCTTTTTCTTCTTTTTTTTTCCTTTCCTTCTATTTCTTCTTTTTCTTCTTCATTTTCTTTTCCTTTTTTCCTTTTCTTTTTCTTCTTTTCCTTCTTTTTTCTTCTTCTTTTCTTATTTTCGTCTTCTTTTTCTTCTTCTCTTCTTCATTTTCTTCTTTTTTCTACTTTTTCTTTTTTCTTTTTCGTCTTCTTGTTTTCTTTTTTCCTTTTTTTTCTTTTTCTACTTCTTTGTTTCTTCTTTTTCTTCTTCATTTCTTTTTTCTTTTTATTCTTTCCCCTCTTTTTTCGTTTTCTTCTTTTTCTTTTCTTCTTTTTCTTTTTCCTCTTATTTTGTCTTCTTTTTCCTTCTTTTCTTCTTCATTTAATTCTTTTTTCTTTTTCCTTTATCATCTTTTCCCTCATTTTTCTTTTCTTCCTCCTTTTCTTTTTCTTCTTCTCTTTCTTCTTTTTTTTTCTTTTTCCTTTTCTTCCTTTTTCTTTTTCCTCTTCCTTTTCTTCCTTTTTCTTTTTCTTCTTCCTTTTCTTCTTTTTCCTTATCTTCATATTTCGTCTTCTTTTTTCCTTTTTTTTCTTTTTCTTCTTCATTTACTTATTTTTCTTTTTTCCTTCTTGGTATTTACTTCTTTTTTATTTCTTTTTCTTCTTCTTTTTCTTCGTTTTCTTTTTCTTCTTCTTCTACCAGACATATCTCCTCATGACAACTTCCTGTATTTGTAGCCTTTAGTTAAATATTCTGTTTTGCTATCTCCGAATTCCTGTTCTGCCAACCGGTTAGAAAGCCTATTGTCTGCTTTCCTCTGTTCCTCTGGACTTCGAGTATGATTCAATTTTCTCGAAAAATTTCGTCATTGATCACGTGTTCAGCCCATGGTATTATCAGCATCCTTCTGTAGAACCACATTTCTCTTGCACCAAGTCACTTCTCTATCTGTAATGCGAATGGTCCAGCGTCCACTGCGATGTAGGAAGACTGATATTACATAACTAACTCAGCTGTTTTTTCTTTGTTTTCATCGAAATATTCCTGTTTCTTAATACTTTGCTTAGCTTTTAGGGACACCTTTCGCCATCCCAATGCCCCTTCGGATCTCAGTGTCATCATTTACATCTTATCGTAAAAACACTTCCTACGAATTCCATTCATTAAAATCTAATGATTACCTTAGATATGTGGCTCATTAAGCTAATTGTTCTTGTGGTTTTCTGTTCATAATTTGGTTACTTTAGCAGTTCTATGAAAATTGATCTAATGAAGACTTGTGACGTTATTTCAATAACGTCTATTAACAATAAGAGGGTACCTTTTTTCATACGTAAAATAATTGTTTATTCACTCTTGGGCTCCAGCCGAATCAAAGGTATGTGGTTTCGGGACTTTCTTCAAACATTTGATCTTCTTGGGGAAATGCGTGAGATTATGTCTCTCACCCTCTATAACCAGGCATTTATAAAACTTTCTGTCATTCCTGTTGTCTTGTGTGCATATATGTGATGTTTGGCTGGTTTCATTTCTTTGCACCAACTGAAACTCTTCGAGGCGAAAAAAAAAAAGGAATGAGATAAAAAATGTCTGGCAGAAAAGTAGAAAGAATGAATGAACGAATACGAAGAATAAGAGATGAAAGAATCAAACAGCCAGAGAACGTTTTGGATAGAAATGTTTTAAAAAGAAGAGAAAAGGAGCAACAGTTTTAAAAAGAATGTGATGGAATTTCAATAGTTGTCAATGAAATAAAGAAATATAGCAAAATACGAAAAGAACTTAAACTGCTGAAAATATTTTGTGAATTATGTCTACTCTAAACAAAATATGCGCTTGGTTTTGCCTTTTGGCCACACAACCCGCACTCCGACTGAACGACATGCCCGGTTTAATCAGTTCCTAATTCTCTATTTATGCTGATGACACAACTATTTACCCTGTCTTAATACTAAGTCTGACAGTATAAAAACCCAAAAAACTGTTAACTGTTCTCCTATCAGTTGTTAACCGGGGCAAGAAATGGCCTGTATCTATTAACGCCTCCAAAACCAAACTCTTATACTTTAATCGTCATTGAGAACTATATTTGCCCTCCATCATCATGGCTGATGATTAACCTCCAGGAGAGCAACTCATTGCGTCTGCTTGGTCTCACATTTTCCACCAACATAAAGTGGACCGATCATATTCAATCAATGTCTGCTACTAAGAAAATTCTTTCTCTGTCCTATCAGACATTTTATTCTCTTTAAAAATCCATCATCCATCCGGGCGTTGTACATCGATGTCATATCGAGTCAAGACCTCCAGCTATATGTCTCACGTTTTCGACAACACCCAAAGAGTCTGTAATGTTATCAGTCCTAACCCGGCATCTTGTCTTTAGTCCCTTTCACACCACCTTGATGCGGATTCTCCCTGTGTCTTTGCCATAAATATCTTCATGGATCTAATGAGCTCTACACTTTGGTACCTCGATCGTATGAATTTATGCGTACTAATAGACTGACTACTAGGTCCTGTCGCTTTACTAATGAAATAGCTAGATGTAGCTCTCCCCATTCTCAAAATTTCTTTCCTCGCACTTCTCACCTGTGGAACTCTCTTCCGATTTGCTGCTTCCTTGCCACATGCAATCTTCAAAGAAATGCATTATCAATCTTTTGTCTTCTTGAATTCTGTTCTTTTATTGTCCTTTCTCCTCGTTAATGTTTTCTCTTCCTCTGATAGTAAGCCTTTGCGTTTTAGTGGCACAGTCGCCTTGAACGCTGAATAACCAAAGTAAATGTAAAAATATGAAATTATTTCATATTAGTTCCCGTTTCATTCTACGAATCTGTCTGAAACTTGTTTATCGGGATGAAAACCTTCTTTATCAATCAATACAGGTAATCCCGAAATAAATTTTTGTGTTTTGCAAAAATAAAATGCTTTTTCCTAGTCTAGGAATCATCTGTACTGGTACTTCTGCATTTGTCCTACTCTTTCCGATAGCACTTAGATCATATAGAGGAAAATAAATACATCCACTTAGTGCCGGATTCGTTCGAGAGAATGGTGCCATCTTAGTCCACTATTAGTCGTAGTGAAGAAAAGCGACAAGAAAGATCTAAAAAACGAATGTAAGAAGATAGAACAATGGTTTTCAGTCAAAGAAACATCCCAAAAGGAGGATTGTCCTGGGTATGACGATAAACTACATCTGGCAGTAAACTGGCAATAATCAGCAAGATGGGATGATTGAAGGTTTTGAGGATCCTGGAAACATTTAATTGTTTTTGTTCCCAGTTTCACCTAACCAGGGGGGGTAGCACCTATAAGGTACCAGCTCTCAGTATCTAGTGAAGTCTCAAACAAAAATCAGTACATTTTTATAATAAAATAACCAACAATACATTTTTATAGCAAAATAACAATCAATGCAACAATAAAAAAATACATTATTATAGTAAAATTATCAACAATTCATTTTGTAATCTACAAACTAAATATATAAAAAAAAAAATACCTTTACTCACAAAATATAAAATGATGTACAAAATATATTCAAAATATTTACATTTCGCCATTAAATAACTGATAGAGGTGTTCATATGCCGCTATACAAAATGAACAACACAAAAAACCAAGATATAGATTAGAAAATGGAGATACCAAAATTAAACATGTGCAAACATTTAAGTATCTAAGAAGTATTTCAACAGAGAACGGAAAATATGACACCGAAATCCGAAGGCGTAATGAAAACGCGAAAAAAGTCTTCTAAAATGTTAGAAAATTATCACGAAACTAGATGATTTCATGACAAACAAAGACCATTGAACTGTTATCATGTGAATGACGAGCAATTTCATCCAATGGAAATGAGACTTGAGGCCACAGAAATGTGATCCTGCCGAAGGATACTGAGACTATTATAGATTAAACACGTGAGAAACGATGAAGTTTTAATGAAAATAAAAAAAAACTCCACAGAAAGAGACAGTTGAAAGAGAGAGTTAAAATATCTATGTGACATAATAAGGAAAGAGGGCTTGGAAAATTTGAAACTCACAAGACCTATTTAGCGTAAGAAGGATAGAGAAAAGCAGCGCTTAATCTATTTAACCAGCTGGTGTAAATATTTGTTAGAACATGGATTAGGATAGGTATTCATAGGTACAAGAGAGTCATGATACTGAAGGGAAACGGTACACAGAAAAAATAGAATTACTCGCTCTGATAGCATTGAAATTGACTATGGAAAAACAAATTCCGTTACCAAATCCGGTTTCTTTCAAAGGAAGGAACTCAAGGGAGTCACTATCTGCCGTAGGCGGAGATGGAGAAAATATTGTATCTGTCTATATTTCTGAGATAAGGTATTATGTACATTATTTACATTATTTGGACTATTGTCCTCATCTTTGCCGCCATATTTATTACAATGTTTCGGCCGTTGTACGCTTCTTCATGTGACTGGAATGTCGAACTAAACCCTTTATTTCGCTCACTGGGGTAGAGTGTTCTAGTTCCACGTGCCATGTTTAATGGATGTCAGTTATCGGTTATCAGTCCTCAAGGACACATGGCACAGTGGATAAAAGCGTTAGTTAAATCCAATGACAGGGCCCAAAGAGTGTGAGTTCAATACCAGGTTAAGGCAGTGGAGAATTTTCAGAGGGAAATTAAAAGGAGATAACTGATAACTGAGATCCATTAAACATGGCACGTGGAAATCAACCCCAGTGAGCGAAATAAAGGGTTCAGTTCGACATTCCAGCCACCCGAAGAAGGCCGAAGCGTACAACGGCCGAAACGTTGTAATAAATATGGCGACAAAGATGAGGACAATAGTCTGAATAATGTAAATAATTTAGAAAATATGGTGGTGCAGGCAAATCATATCTAATTTATGCTAAAAAATAGTAATAGGCTTTTATTAAGAAACGCTAATGGCAAATCCACTGTTATTTAAAAAAAAAAAATTATCTTTTCAGGATTCTTGCGTTTACGCTGCGAAAACGTCAGAGTGAAATTGTGTCCCAAAGTATTCATGAGGACATTATTCATTAAGAACACGAATAAATAATTCTGTAATTCGTATACGACAGAGACATTGATCTTTGTTGCAAAAAGCCTGGTAATCAGAATTGAACTCACTAACAATGACTTTTCAAAGCAGCACGGTCAAATGTGTTCTACACTGGTGATTGCAGCATATTTATATTGAATCTTCAATATACATTGAGTTGAGATGTTAATTCTTTTTTTTGTTGTTGTTTTCTCGCGGGAAAAATCAGTTCAGTGTTCAACGAAAATGATCTTCAATTAAATATGGTTTGTCTCTAGAAATATTAAATAGGACGCCAAACTGTAATATGATCAAGTTGTAATTTATTTCATTTGTCTGAAAATACTGATGTATAGACAGTGATTAGTTTATCTCGCAATCCCCTGCTTTTCACTGAATACAGCACTGGTTGTTCTACCGAAGTAAACACATCAAAATAGAGTCAATGCCAGTAAACAGGCTCGAGGAGTTAGTCTGTTGTAGATATCTAATGGCAACATCTAAAATATATTGTGATCTCAAACAATAATAAAAGGTAGGGCCCTTTAAAAAAGGGGTTTCCTTTCGGAGTTGCCCCTTTAAGAGTCGATAGTTACTACATACATGAGTTATTTTCTAAGAACAGTAAAGAGAGCTTGTATAATTGACAACCATTTAGGAAAATTATATATACATTGAATATTTCTCA